TGCTGACTCTCTGTAAACCGCTTAGAGAGGGCTGAAAGCCCTATGAAGCGGTATATAAGTCTACTGCTAAAAGTGTGAAAAACGATCCTAGGTCACTTTTTTGGTGCCACTGTAACTTTGAACTGTCACTAAATGACCTACTTATAAGTTGAGGATTACCTGTACTGCCTTACTCATAGTGATTCTGGCAGTTATGCTTTTTAGGGTTGTGCAAAGCATTTGAGCAATGCTTTGTGAAATGTATTAGAATAAATAGAAGACCCCCCTTCTCAGGGTGTTAAAGCAGCTCTGTCCATTTCTGTACACAGATCAAAGGGACTGCAGCAAACTTAATGTGCTATGTTTGTTCAGCTGGGGAAACTTTCACCATACTGCTTTCATGCTTTTGAGGAATATTGCTTTGTTTTCACTAATGTATAAAGATCTTACAAAAACATTCACATATGAATTGTTGTTTCTGCATCAGAGTGAACTTGCAACATAGGTAAGTCTGAGAACAGCATTGTACTCAAAGAGAGGAACTGTCATTTGAAAAGGTAAACCATGCTAATTCAGGATTCTCAAACTGAGGGGGATTGCAAGCAGCTTAAGGTGTAGAGAAGATGGTATTGTAATTGTTCTTGTTTTTAAACAGGTCTGCATAGAGAGGAACAGGATCGTCAGAATTCAGTCTGGGCTTTGCTTTCTATTTTCTCTTAACAAGCCCATAGTGGGAAATATTTATTAAACATTGTGATTGTATTAATAATTACCTATTGTGTATTTTGTTGCCCTTTTTTTAACCTCAGAGAAATAATTAGTTTTATTTTGGATTGGGAGATCATGATATAGCAAAGTTCGAAAATCACTGGATTAATCCTTATTCAGTAATCCAAATGAAATTCTGCAGAAATAATGGAAGCCTTTACTTGTATTCACCTGTACAATTTGCCACTGACTAATAATCTAATTGAATTAAAATCTTTCTAACTTTATACTACAGAAATGCAGTTTTAGTTATAAGTATAATTTGGGTTGTTCACATTTATAACTCATCTAAGCATATTTCTTACATTGATATTTCATTAGAAAGGTAAATAAATTGTATCAAATTCAATAAAATGGTGAGACTTGTAATCAATTGTTAACCTATTTTTTTCTGAAATGTTCAGTCAATGGATCTTAGTCTTAACTAAATGGCTATAGCATGGCTTATCCTTAAATCAGCTTTCTAAGAAACAAGGTCAGTTAACAAGCTAGTTCTTTTAAGATAAGGATGCCAAAGTGCATTTGGGATTTTTTCTGTCGTTAATGTCACCATATTTCTTCATACGCCATTCAAATTTCAAACGTACTGCCTTGAGTTCTTTGTAAAATAATAATGGTAGGATATAAATAAACAAATATATAAATACTGATAGATTTGCACAACTGGTATAAAATATTGTCTGAGGAAGAGGATGCTGAAGAACCTAATGATCTTCAATGTGATAAATATTGCCTTAACTGTTATAAAATGGCACAGTTATTTTTCTGGGGTTTATGTGAATAAATGTCTTGGATTTTTGTTTTTCAGATTGAGAATGTTCCATCATTGCTATGTGAAGTCAATACCAAAGCCAGGCTTACCTGCTTAGCAGTATGGCTCAGAAAAGATTTTGAAACAGAGCAGATCCCGGATGAAGCCACACCATCTTCATCTCAGGGTATTACTATAGAATTTTCTTAACATTTTGTCAATTAAACCATAATTAAAATTATATAATTCTTTCATTGTTTTAATTATTTTACAGTACATGAAGCAGAGCAGCTGTCACTTAAGAAAAAGAAAAAGCTTTCGACCGATAGTACTAAATCTTTTGAGGGAGATGGCCAGAAAGTCGCTCTAAAAAGAAAATCAGGAAAAACGCTGCAAAAGAAGAAGTTACAGAGATTAAAATAAATATCCAGCCATTATCATATTCCATACTAAATATATAACAAAGAACCAATTTGTTTTTTACTTTAAGACATTTTTAATTTTCAGTACACTCTTAAGAATATTTTTTATATGTTAATGTTTCTAGAAAATAGATATTATATTTCAACAGTAACAACATCCAGATCTTGTGACTATTGTTTTTAAGTGTAAAAATATAAGTATCAATTATCTTACAATGTATGTGAAATGTCCTATTGTTATTTAAATTGATTTCCAAGTTGCTAATATATTTTGATATTTACACATACTTTTAAATTTTCTTAAAAAGTCTTTTCATAGAGGCATTATTCAATGTACAGCTAACAATATAAATTGTTACCTTACACATTAATTTCTTCAGGGTTGGTTGATTGGTTGGTTGCATTTATAGGGCCACCTGTTTCATATACATACTGGGTGGCTAAAACGTGAAATAGAATATTTCCCTCCAATTAACATTTTCTTATGGATTCTACACTTTAGAAATTAGCAAGTGGCCCATATTTTTGGACACATCAGTAGGACACATTTCAAGGGAAGCCTGTCTGTTTGTTTTCAGTGCAGAGCAAACTTTTCATCCCAGTTCCTGTATGTTTATTTGAAATGTAGGATTCTTGATTCTGTTAACTCTTATCTAGGAATGTAATTGGTTGTAGGGTTTTCCTTTTTGGTGTGCCTGGCCATTGAAGTAGAACAGAAGCAACTGCTCTTTCTGCTTCCTTATTTTTTTCTTTTTGCATATTATTTCTATTAAGGATTTTGATTTCCATAATAAAAATGAATACAAGCTAGACTTAAAAGAAAAAAGAATAAGAATAAAAAGTGCAAGAAAAAATAAGAGAGAAAAAAAGAACACAATTACATTCCTAGATAAGAGTTAACAGAATCAAGAATCCTACATTTCAAATAAACATACACAGGAACTGGGATGAAAAGTTTGCTCTGCACTGAAACAAATAGACAGGCTTCCCTTGAAATGTGTCCTACTGATGTGTACCAAA